CCTGGGATCAAGCCCTGCATCAGGCTCCCTGCTCCAGGGGAAGCCTGCTTCTCCCTCTCCCACTCCCCCTGCTTGTGTTCCCTCTCTCGCTGTGTCTCTCTCTGTCAAATAAATAAAATCTTTAAAAAAGAAAAAAAAACTTTAGAAGGAAAAGACTGGCTTGAATCTTTTCCATCATAGTTTAAAATGCTAGAAGAGAGTAAGCCTAGAGCATATAGTAGGGTTTCCTGGGAGAGGACAGTGACTCAATAGTTCTTCACTAAAGTTTTAATGTAGAAAAGTAATAGATTCATAAGGACTCAGGAAACAGATAACCCATGATGCCTTCTAAAAAGATTGTTAAAGATATAATTCTGCTAATGGAAAAATTAATTAAAAGACAACTATCAATGAACATTAATCCACTTAGGTGTGATTATACAGTTTAATGTGATGGTTATAATTCTTAATAGAAAATTTACATAATGTGAAAATGATAATACTCTGACAAAACTAACTATAATGAAAGAGAGTCATGAGAGTTAGGGTGAAGGCTAATTTGTTCATTTTTCAGAGTGGAGTCAATAAATAACATTTTTTGCTTCTGAGGCTGATGATTTAAGTATATTTAAAGTTTAAAGATAACCATTAGTGGAATTACAACTAGATCTTCTAATTTACCAGAGGAAGTTGCCGTAATTCTGATACTAAAACAGTACAGACCACAAAAACTCTAAAGCAATTTCATTTATTAATAGAGATATTAAAACTGTAATAAAAGTATTAACAAATGTACTAATATATTTAAAAATGCTGGGTGATAGACATTGGGGAGGGTATGTGCTATGGTGAGCACTGTGAATTGTGTAAGACTGATGAATACAGACCTGTACCTCTGAAACAAAAATACATTACATGTTTAAAAAAAAAAATAGAAGGGTGCTCGCTTCGGCAGCATATATACTAAAAAAAAAAAAAAAATAGAAGGAAGGGAAAAATGAAGGGGGGGAAATCGGAGGGGGAGACGAACCATGAGAGACTATGGACTCTGAGAAATAAACTGAGGGTTCTAGAGGGGAGGGGGGTGGGGGGATGGGTTAGCCTGGGGATGGGTATTAAAGAGGGCACATATGAATGGAACACTGGGTGTTATACGCAAACAATGAATCATGGAACACTACATCAAAAACTAATGATGTAATGTATGGTGATTAACATAACATAATAAAATAAAATTTAAAAAAATACAAAAAGAAAGAAAAAATACATATACATATCTGAACAAAGTACATTTTATTCTGTGAATGTGAGAATGTATTTACATGAGAAAATCGATTTTTTCTACAATTTTCTACATTTTCTACATTAGAAGAAAAAAGGAGGGGGCGCCTGGGTGGCTCAGTTGGTTGTGTCCAACTCTTGATTTCGGCTTAGGTCATGATCTCAGGGTTGTGAGATCAAGCCCTGCATCAAGAAGTTTTACCTGTAAACGTGAATTGGGCAATATTAGTTAAATGTTAACTATCACTGCATACTGGAATGCCTTAAAGGAAATGTCCCAAGGTTACATTTTGTCCAAACAATGATAGTGGTTGTGTGTGTGGTTCTCTTCTCAGTGAAGGTGTTTCAGGGGAATTTCTTAGACAAATTAGAACAAAACACAAAGAAGTTATTATAACTGCTTACTTTTCAAAAGAATAGCAAATTAAGAACATGTTATTCTCGTCACCATCAGAAAGCCACTATACAGAACATAAAGTTCTCATGACAGGCTAGGTCACGTGGATGATATCCCATCATTCTGGAAACTCAGAAACTTTTGCTAAGATTATGGAAGGCCATGGTTTTCCCATGCTATATGGACTATGGGAATAGCTAGGATTCTAAAAGTGGTCCTAGAAGACCTAAATTCCATTCTGTCCACTGTTTTGAATCAGAGGGACTCACAAATCTAGGAAGCTTACTCAGTGAAAAGTCTTTTGAACTTATGACCAAGAGGCAATGGAAACAGAAGGGTTTTACCTTGCTTTCTGTTGTGAGCTGTTTTCTTCTATCTAGGCTTCTGTTGTAAAATGGGATGTTAAGTATTTAGGAAATGTCATACAGTTTTTTTTCATTTTAGTCAGGTGCACCATCTTTACACTGGAGCCTTTTCAGAGTTATTGTTAGTAATATGGACAGTGAGTTTCAGATCAACTTCACATTTATTTTTTACTACTGAAATTTATCAACTATCTTAAGGCATGGGGCTAAGAGAAAGACAACTTTTTATTTCTTAAATAAAGAAAATGTAAATTGGTACAGCCTTTTTGGAATCAGTTTGGCAATATTAGTCAAACTTGAAAATGCTTATATCCTTTGTTCTGCAATTCTACTTCTAGGGATCTATTCCTCAGAAATAAACATGTGTGGAAAGGTGCTCATACATATATGATGTTTTTGCAATATTGTTATTTTGAATAATTAGAAACAATGTAAATTTCCACTATTTTGGAAAAAGTTAAATAAATTATGGTACATGAAATTATGATAAATTATGCAGTATTAAAATGAATTAAGTTGCAGTGACGTAGATGGAGCTAGAGTGTATTATGCTAAGCAAAATAAATCAGATGGAGAAAGACAAATACCATATGATTTCACTCATATGTGGAATTTAAGAAACAAACAGATGAACATATGGGAGGGGGAAAAAAGGGAGGGAAACAAAACATAAGAGACTCTTAATCACCAGAACAAAACTGAGGGTTGATGGATGGAGGTGGGTGGGGGATGGGCCAGATGGGGATGGGGGATGGGTATTAAGGAGAGCACTTGTTATGATGAGCACTGGGTGTTGTGTGTGAGTGATGAACCACTGAATTCTACTCCTGAAACCAATATTGCACTGTATATTAACTAACTAGAATTTAAATAAAAATTTGAAAAGAATAAAATGTACTTACAAAGAGAAAATAAATGTAAAAAAATTGAATTAAGTAGATGAAAAGTACTGATATGAAAAAATCTCTAGAATTTTTAAGTAAAAAGAGCAAATAAAAAATGGTGAGGGTCTTGGGTGCCTGGGTGGCTCAGTTGGTTAAGCAACTGCCTTCGGCTCAGGTCATGATTCTGGAGTCCAGGGATGGAGTTCCACATCTGGCTCCCTGCTCAGCGGGCAGTCTGCTTCTCCCTCTGACCCTCCCCTGCTCATGCTCTCTCTCTCTGCCATTCTCTCTCTCAGATAAATAAATAAAATCTTAAAAAAAAAAACAAAGAATAACAAAATGGTGAGGGTCTAGAAGCATGCTCACAGAATTGTTGCATTGGTTATCATGGGTAGGATGTAGGTTGTGAAGAAATATAATCATAAGTGTTTATTTTTTAAGATTTTATTTATTTGACAGAGAGAGAGACAGCGAGAGAGGGAACGAACACAAGCAGGGGGAGTGGAAGAGGGAGAAGCAGGCTTCCCACCGAGCAGGGAGCCCGATGCAGGGCTCGATCCCAGGACCCCGGGATCATGACCTGAGTTGAAGGCAGACGCTCAACAACTGAGCCACCCAGGCGCCCCAATCATAAGTGTTTAATATTTAATACTATTTCAATTTTCCAAAAGGAGCACCTGTTTGTTACTTGTGTAGCTAAAAAAAAATTAAGGAAATTTCATCAACAGATTATATCCCCAAAACAATATCAAGATTGCATCAAGGACTTGGCTCATATATATATATATTTTTAAAGATTTTATTTATTTGACAGAGAGACAGCGAGAGCAGGAACACAAGCAGGGGGAGTGGGAGAGGGAGAAGCAGGCTTCCTGCCGAGCAGGGAGCCCGATGTGGGACTCGATCCCAGGACCCTGGGATCATGACCTGAGCTGAAGGCAGACACTTAACGACTGAGCCACCCAGGCGCCCTTGGCTCATATTTTTAACATCCATCTGGCAATGTAGGGTGGCAATGTTTACAACTGCAACTTAATACTTGGACTTAACATACAAAATATATATTCATCTTTTGGAAAGAGGGATTGAAGTTAGATACAATTCTTTAAAAATAGGGCCCCCAAGACCTGAGCTATCTGAAAAAGCCATTGAGGAATCCATTCAACCATGAAGGCTGGAACCTGATTTTCTTGGTTATCCCTGCAGTGCTTGGCACATAGTTAACACTCAATAAATAATGACTTAATGATGGATGAATCGACAGTTTAAGTCGTTTTAGTAGCTCCTACTTATTTAAAAGCAGGATATACTATCAAGGACAGATGATTGAGGCGTCTTGTTACTTGCTTCTCAAATGAGGAGGCTGAAGAGGAGCAGTCCTCTCTTTCCAGTCAGGTTAGGAATTTGGTCGAGGACAGCGTTTAGTGGCTTAAGTTTTGATGATCTGTGCATTGAAAAATCACTGAATTTCAGAACTAGACAGAATATAAAAGGGCAAACAAGCGAGTTGCCACTAATTATATACATAATTTTGCTCAGAGGAGAGGAAGGGGCTCTAGTGGCTGTGAAACTGTAGGCAAATCACTCTATTAGTGTCTACATTTTCATCTGAAAAAAAGGGAATGATCACTCCCTCATAGGATTTGTTTGTTTCTTTACATGGAGGGATATGAAAAACTATAAAACGCTGGCAACATAGTGGCCATTCCGTATTGTGCAACGAATGTTTCATATAAATTCAAACCCAGACCGTCGGGTCGAAAAGCACTCAGAGACTAAAACCGTACACAACCGAGAGGTTCTCAAGTTCCGGCAGTCTCTTTCATTCTCCTCATTCATTTTAACCCCAACCACACCTATCGGGCCGGTGCGAGTCCCAGCAGTCGGCTCCCAGGACCCAGGGGACGACCCTCGGGCCCCGCGCCGGCGGGAGTTCGCGCCGGCCCGGGGCCCGAGCCCGGGCTTCCTCGCGTTACAGGGCCCGGCGCTTCGAGGACCACGGCCCGCGCCGGGCTTCCGTGCTTGGGGTCCAGCCACCGCCAGCCTCGCGCACCAGTCCGCCGAGGTTCTGGGGTCCTGGCGAGACACTCCTACCTACACTCCAGAGCCGGGTCTCCAACGCTCTTCCCGCAGGGAGACCGAGGTGTGGGAGCCCGGCGGCCCGAGGCAGAGTGGCCGGAAGGCCGGCAGGGCCCGCGGCTGGGTGGGCGGGGCGGCGAAGCGGGAAGCACAAGGAGCGCGCTCCCGTGGACGCAGGAGGGAGGCGGGGGCGAGGCGCGCGCGTGCGCTGGGAAGAGCGGCCTGGAGGCGGAGTCTTAGGGCGACGGCAGGAAGAGGGCGCCCTGGAGCCGAGCGGGAGGCCGGCTGGGGGCGGGGCGGAGGGAGGGCGTCGACCCTAGGGGGCGGGGTGAGGCGAGGCGGGGACGCGCTTGCGGGGTGGGGAAGGCGGGGGCGCGGCGGTGGCGGGAGCGTCCCTGGTCTCCGCCCCTGTTTCCCATTCTCCTCCACCTCCCACCCGGCGGGGCTCCGGAGAGGCGCCGCTTGCTCGTCCCTGGAGCCGCCCAGCTGCCGCCGCCTCCGCCCTCCGCTCGCGGTGAGCCCGTCAGTCCCCGCACCGTGCGCTCCTCCGTCTGGGCCATGGATGGGTAAGTACTCGAAGGCTCTGCGGGGCTGCGCTTGCCCCGCTTCCTTTCGGCTTTCGGCCGGACACGCCGCGGCCGCAGAGCCGGGCGCGGCGCCGGCGGCCGGAGGAGCGACCCCGGCCGAGTCCGACGGCGGGGCTTCCGGGCGCCCCGAATCGCAGAGGGGCGGTCCGCCGCCGCCTCTTCTCCCGGCTGGGGCGCCCCCGTAATGTCCGCCCCTTCGCAGCCTCACACCCGGAAGCGGAGGAAAGCCGGGTGCAGCCGCCGGGTGCCGGGGTCCGCCCTCCGCGCGCGGAGTCCGGGGAGCCCGGCCCGGCCTGCCGACACTTCCTTTCAGAAAATGGTGCGCGGCGCTGGGGGAGGCGGAGGCGGCGCTCGGGGCGGGCGTCCTCCCGCTTGGGGAGTTGCTGTTTACCGGTGAGGTGGGGCGAGCGCTGGAGCTTCCCCTGGCGGGGAGGCCAGTGGCCGCCGAGAGGCGGACGGCGAGTGCACGCGTCGGGGCACGTCTGGGCGGCGACCTGGTCCCGAAGCCACGGCCCCCCGCGGGGTGTCGACGTGCGGGGGGACCCGCCGAGGTCTCCGGACTTGGGGCTGTGAGCGGTGCTAACGACCTCTGTATACCGGGCGTCTGGACCTGGTGACCGTGGACTCCTGCCCCCATGGCCCCCCAAAGAAACTTCGTGAATTTATGCGATTTTCGGGAGCGTTCAGACGCTCTAGAAGTTAAAGAGGTCTGTTGTCAGAATAAAAAGATTTCGAATCACTGATAGAAATATTTCTCGGAGAACCCAGGGATATGGCGTGGGACCTGACAGATAATTTAATATTTAAGGAAACAACTAGGTTAGGATCTTCGTGGATTAATTGTAGCATATGTTTATCAAGATTTTAAAAATATCTCCAGCTCTATTAGAGCTTGCAAATCCACTTATTCATTCCCATTATATATCTGAGTTTTTGTTTGGCCTTTTACTTGCTTTTGAGGACAAAATATCTATAAACCCCTTGGTTGAAGAATATGTGAAACTTGCGTAAACAGTAAGAGCCTTGTACATGTTACCATATAGTTGATGACTGTTGCCATGCTGTGTAAAGACAATGGAATCTTCCAACAATTTTTGCCTTCGTTAGACTTCATTTATCTACTTCCATAACCTTAAATCTGTATATTTGGATTAACTCATTTGAATGCTAATTGCACACTGATACAGACTTTAGACAGTGCGGTTTTAGATTTCATTGATGGTTGCGATGTTCTGTTTTTTAATTGAAGCTATTTTTATTTAATTGAAAATTTTCTGAGAACATCGTTGAAAACTCATTTCACATCACCGTATTCGGTTACACTTTATATGTGTGCAAAGTTCTGCTGTTTTAATTTGTGTAATTATGCCAACATTTCAGTTCAGGAAGGCTGTGAAATTAATGTCTCACAGTGTGTAGTGCGTTGTCGTTAAGACGGTTTGACTTGAGCTATGGAAGCAGGCTAGCTTTTTGTATTGGAAAATTTATAGTGATGACAAAGGATTCGAGTTATGCATCTTGGTTTTTAAACTTTTGGGTAACTGAGAAGTGCAAACTTACTCTTGAATAGTTTAGTAACTCTCTCTTTACCCTATATGTGGCTTTAAAGCTAAGAATGAGTTTATTGGTTTATATATGTGGGGCAGTAAGACATTCTGGAAGGTAAGTTCAGGACCTATACAATCTTGTTTTCTATGCAGAAACAGTTATTTGTCACATTTAAATTTCAGAGAAATGAATTTCAAGTTTCAGAAGTCTGTCAGGAAAAATTAAAAATCTGCATGGTTATTGTTTAAAACAAATTTGCATCATTGAACAATCCAGATTCATAAATTTGTTCACTTTTAAGTAATGGCATTATAGGTTATTAATTATAGAATTTAGTTGGAGCTTTCTTTTAGGAGATACGGAGGTAAACTGTAATTGAAGATGGTTTCTTTGGGATGAGAAAAGATGGATTTTTGTTTGAGAGAACTTTATAGGAGTTTTTACACCTTGGGGTTAAGGGATGTGGTTTTTAACACAGTGAATATTTGCTTTCAGGAGGCTAATTAACTTTCTGCATTTTCCCCACAGCCTGAAAAGGTCCTTTTTCATTATTTTGGATAGTTAAAAAAAGAAACCGCAAACCACCGGTCAATGTATCTTTCTAGTTCTTCCTCAAATCCCAACTGTCTTTTGTGTGTGTGTGTGTGTACGTTTTCATTTCCTCCTGAGATAATTTATACTTAAACACAGTTTTGATGTGGTAGAGTTTTTTTAAAAAGCAGATCTTTGAAAATTTTCATGTCTGAAATTTGATATTTGCATTTATTTTAGTTCTGAGAGACTATCTTGGTTGTATTTTGGTGAGCTGTTTCGGGCGGTAGATAGAAATTTGCAAGATACCTTCTATTTCTGTAAAAGCCACTCACAGTTTTGTTTCATTTAAAATTTTAAAACATGTTAATTCAGACCAGTGATTTAAAAGAATGAACTTTGGTGATTTTAAGTTTTGATTTGGATTTGTTAAATAGAGGTAAATGGATAAACACATATTGTTTTATTGAAACACAGCTATACTTTAATACTGAAAGAATTTGATTTACTATTTGTTTCTTATATTGTGGTTAAAGCTTTGCTTTTACACTCTGCTGTTGCTAGACTGTCCCATCACTTTTCTTTGTATTAACATTTCACAACTCATCGCATTCTTCTTTTTATTAATTTTTATTATTATAATGCTTTTCCTTTTTTTCTTTAATCTTATTATCTCTGTCTTTTAAAAACTTGTTCTCTAACTTTGTTTTCCATTTTCTCTTTTTACTTTTTCCATACAGTGTTGTTACAGATCTTATAGCAGTCGGTTTAAAGGTAGGACTCTTTTACTATCCTTTCATAAGCTTTTTTAAATCTTAGTTTCGGCATTTTTTTTTTTTTTCCAGTGGTGATATCATCTCACCTGTTCATAAAATTATCTTTTTTACTGTGTGATAATAGTCTTTCATTTTTATTTAGCTCCAAAATAAGTGGACCTGTAGTTGATTTTGGATTTTACATATTTATAAAGAGGGGCTACAATATTATCGTATATCTAAAATGTGAACAAAAAGTTTAGCCCAAAGTTTTACTTGAACTCTCAGAGTTTATTTGTTTGATTTTGTTTTGTTTTGTTTTAGCAGTTAAATATAGCCTAGGCTGTATTTCCCTATCATGTTTGTTCTTGTATTTTCTCTTGGATGTGTTTTTGAGTAATAAAATAATAATAATAGCAGCTAAAGTTTCTTCAATTCCTAGTATGTGCCAGCTGCTGTACACCTATTTCACTAATTGTAACAGTCCTTCAAGGTAGGTATTAATAAATTCCCATTTTAGAGATGGAAAAATAGGTTCAGAAAGTTTGTTTTCAAGGTGTGGTGCACCAGAGTTCAAACCCGTGTCTTCCTGGTTCCAAAGCCTGACTTTTTTTTTTTTTTTTAATATAACTAGCTGCCAGTAATAAGGGTGCTGTCTAGAAAGTGAACAGGAGAGCTGGATAATTAATATTTTACAGTAATAACTCTTTAAGTCACATTAGTTTTATCAGTCTTCTCATTTATTGAATTCTAAAATATAAATCAAGTAAGCAATGTTCACCAGTATGAGGCTTTTAAAATATAAATGGGTGTTTTAAGGTTTCCTTTAGCAATTTGATATTTGATATACTGAGTTGAGAATCTAGTTCTAGAGGCCACTTATAGTTTGGATTACTATAGAAAACAAAAATAATTCATGTTTATATTATATGTATTTTATGTAAAATTGTTTCACCACTTTCTGTCCTTCATCTCTTCATCATCTCTTCTTGCTAGCAATTTCAGCACTTCCACATTTGCAGTTATTGGATCTGGTGGTGGTGCTCATCTTCTAATACCTTAAAAAATAAGCATAATAGCTTATGAAACTAACAATAGGATTCTGAGATTAACATAATAGGGAACTGCTGCTTATACTATCTTTTGAAGTTGGGTGGAGTTAGCTTGCTTTGACAAACTTTGAACATATTTTGTGAATTGAAAAAAATGGAGGAACCTCTTTAGTGAGATATGCTTTTCTTCTTCTTCTCCCCCCCTACCCCCCATACTTAAGTCACTTTCTTTTGGGAATGACGCTAGGAGATACAGAAACTGTAGGCTGATATCTAGGATCACTTTTGGTGTCTCTGTAGGTACCTGTGAGGGAAAGGATATTTAAAGTGAATGTTGTGTGAAAAGTAATTTGTGATTCTAGAGTTTATCTGGCAAAAATGAATACATGAGACATTTAAAATAAAACTTACATTTTTGAGTTGAGAAATTATGCTTGAAGGGCTATTATGCCTTTTTTACTACGGGGGAAAATATATCTTAGTGATGAAGAAAAAGATTAGGCACGGCATTCAGATTTGAATACATGATTTGGATTTCTGACTACCTGTTTAGCAGCAAGCGCTCTAAAAACAAAGATCAGATCCTACTCTGAAGAAAAAATAAGCTGATTTAGTTGTTT